TAGTTGAAACGTCTATTCAGAGGACATTTTTTCTAGTCATGTAGTGTCACCTAAATGGAAGTTCCACTCTGAACTTCCAAGAATTCACATTTAAAATTGTCAGATACAAGAACTTGTCACAGAACTTGTTTAAAGAAATCAATCAAATTGCAGGATAATGAAAACAACGTTTGCAACTTTCCATAAACCAGTTCACTACTGAATCCATAACATATTTCTACAGCTAGCTCTGACTAAAAAAAAAAATCCTGTATCCAAGCAACTGAATTTGGCCATTTCAAAATTAATGTAATATAGTGCTAATTGAAATTTCTGTTGCACAATTTTGGTCTGAAATCATACTTCTGATTTCAAATCGTGCCGACTAAGGTGCACCTCATTTAGGTCAATTACCACTATGAATTGTTTTACGAAAGCGATTTGCAAGCGGATGCTCATACCCAGGCTCCCTCTGCTTCCCATATTTTTTTTGCGACTCACTTTCCTGAACGGAAAGGCGACAGGAAATAAAACGTTTTACACTGTGGTCAAATGCCCAGCTGCTGCTCACGATCTCAAACAGACTATAAAATACCTGGAAGCTAGGCAATTTTCAGAAAATTTCTCTTGAAATATTCTTTCAAACTTCCCTTTGGTATCACGTTTTTCGGTTTTTGTTTAGAAATGTCGAGCGATCCCAAAAATTCTTTCAGTAAGAAGTCTGTAAAATTCCCAACTTCCGGGCGAGTGTGCCCCCAGACATTTGACCGTGTTTTGGAGAGCCCCATGTAAGAACAACTTTGATACCGTATACGTATTTAAGTTTGGCTCATTGCAAAATCTCATTCACGCGTAAATTGGTGACCTAAGTGAGGTCGTAAATGGAAATACTTCAAATAATTGGCGAAGAAAGTGGACGTATTCCTTCATGAGAGCTTGTGAGAGCTGATGACATTGAGAAAAATTTCTGCTTTTGTAAACTTGGTCACTCAAAAGAGATTGTCTCTAAGGGACCTTTGGTTCGACGAGTCTACGGTCCTAAGATTTCCATCGACTTGTTTCTTGTTCATAATTAAGCTGTTTCATGACGATTATGTCTTATTTAAACATACACACCTAAGGAAAGACTTACAAAACCTTTTGCATTACACGAACGTACGCTGGATATCTCACTTTATAAAACATTATTCAGATAGTGCGCGCGCTCTGATTGGCCATAAAACCATTTTACATGAGCGTATGTAAACGCGGTTTTCGTTCCTCTTTTATTAGCTATTTTATGGTGGTTTCCAGCTTATCGAGTGTTCTCCCAACCTCCCGCGTGTTTACATCAGGCTATGTAAACACGGAAACCATTTTACATTTCTTCACCGTAAACACGCTCTCTAATAATAGCAAGAACATTACCTCAAATTTAGAACGAACGCGAAGCAAGCTTCAGGGATCTTTACGTGGTCGTACTGGCAGGTGCTTAATGATCCTAAGAGGAACGTGTTCCTTGACGCTTTGGTTCAGCGAATTGCGGTAAAGTTACGAGGGAAAGGATGTATTTCTTGTTCTGAAACAAACGACTGAGAAGCTAAAGGATAGCGATTCATCGAAATTGACCTCTGACTTGACGCTCAGTCTTTCCGGGAAAAACACAATTACATATTGAAGAGATATTTCCTAACAGGGGAAGACTAAGTTTTCAAGTGCACAACATCTTCTTTCTTCTCTTCTTCTCTGTTTTGGGTCCCAGAACCCACTTTCCTGAGCCGAGACAAGAAGATTAACTAAATGCGGATACAAGTTATACTCACCCAGATCAACACTTCCGCGTGATACTTAGTGAAGACTTGAGCGCTCTCCAACACCCCCCCCCAGGTAACAACTTGTGGACAACCTCAGTGGGAAGTTTTCCATAAAGGTAGCATACCTTCATGGAAAATATGGCGAATGAAGATATCGATAGATTTTTGCGAAGATGGATTGCTCCAGAAAGATTACCGGAAGCGTTACGAGGAATTCTTTAACTGGGGTGAAAATAGCTACAAGAGGGAAAAATACTATCAAAGATAGCTCTTGTTACAAACTTGAAACTTACCATGACACGTACAGATATCGAAAGGCGTTACTGAAGGTGTTCATTGCCAAAAAGAAGTCGGAAAACTTCAAATTAACCCATACAACGATACCACAGTTTTTTCGCGAGCTTGAAGGTTATACATACGCAGAAGAGGCTGCAGATAAACGCAAGGAAAGTGAAAGCGGACCTTCTCTTGTTAATGTTTTTGGGAAGGATGATTTCAAGGTAGAGGGTGTTGTTATCCGAAAGACAAACCGGGAAGCATGGATTTTGGTGAATAAAACCTGCATGTTTAATGGAAAGGAGTATGAAAAAGTCGAGCTTCTTCTCGACCTTGAAACGTTTGGCGCAGATGATGTCAGCAGAGCATTTCTTAAAGTGGGTGACATTCTTGAGATTGCAAAAGGTCCCAAAGAAACCGAAATAGCTCTGGAGCCAGAAATTATTTGGTAGGTTGAGTACATACGTTTTAAAAAAACTGTATTTGAGCAGATAACATGATCAGGAACGACATCGCTTAACATATTAATGATAGAAATGAAAAGAATTATCCATCAATAGAAGCCTCGTATCTATTGCAAATAAAAGACTTCCTTTGATGGACAATTCAAACCCTTTCTCCCTTAAAATAAGTTTGCATATTCTCTAAACTGTTCTCTATATATTTCGTAAGGTGCTGACAAGGAGAATTTAGTAACAATCAATAGCTTTGTTAGTTGGTGATCATTTACTTTATTCTCATGACCTCAATGTTTGATTCAGGGGTGATACTGTGAGGAGAAATTAGATGCTATTCTGACCCTTGGGGTTTAAGTTGGGCAGTGACATGGGTTAGTACCATGATACATTATACACCCTTAACTTCCATAAGTTATCATCACCCAACTTCTCACAACATGACCAGATTGTTCAAAAGACAGGCATTGGTTAAATGAAGAACTGTTTCACCTTAAGTATATTTAATTGACTTTAGATGGTCAGCTGAATAAATGGTACCTAAAGGGTTGATTTTTATGCTTTCACTTTTCAGCTGTTACAAATTATCTGAGAAAGAGATTGAAGCATTTCTCAACCATGTGCATAGGGTAAAAAGTGATGGGTCATCTGCTGCTACAGCTGAGCTGCTAAGGTAAATAATGTCAATAAATAACCTGATTGCGGAGAGGGCAGTTACTGGTAAATGAATTGTGTATTTACTCAATACAGAGACTTTTGCACGGCAAAAAACTATCAGTTACAAGTTGACAACCACAAAACACCAATTATCCATGTGCTTGCTCTCTTTTTTTTAAATCACATCCTATAACAAGTTACAACAACTGCAGTACCCTGCGAGCAGCAGAGTGCCTCTTATTTTAAGACATAAATTGGTTCAATTGTCTTTCTAGTTCCCAGCTTATTGGCCGAATTTGAGTTACTTACTCAAATCCAGTTTTACTACCAGGTAATAGTCCATTTTACAGTGCTTGGTTGCCAAGCCTTTGAACAGGAATGAGGCTAAGGGTCACCTTGTTATGATACAAACCTTCCTGCTTTTCAAATGCAAATTAATTTGTTATCATGCTAACTAGATGCTGGTCTCTATCACAACAAGATCACCTTCAGCCTCACTCCAAATCAAAGGCTTGGCTGAACTAAGTACACAACTATAAAATGGCCTATTAAACATATAGAACATAAAAAATCCTTTTTTTGTAGATAAAATACTTTAGACCACACAATTATGATAATCTTAGTTTGTTCAAATTGAATTGCTTAACCTTCCATTTAACTAACTGAATGTTTGTTGAAATCATGAAATTATATAAAATAGGGCACATATATATCAGTTGATGATTCATTCCTTTAGTCTTTAACTGTATGTACTGAAACACTAACAGTGAATTTTTATATGTTAATGGGGAAAGATGACAGGGTATTTTATTGCAAGTAACTTTTATGCACAATATGTAACAACTATTAAACTGAGCAGAAGCAGCCAGGTAAATATCCACCACTGGCCACTGACTCTGATGTCATGTGAAGGTTACAGATCCGTTGTTTTATTATAAACTAAAACAGTAAGATAGTATGGCAGAAAAAGATGATTTAAACTATATGTTTATGGATGCATTAGTCCCACTCACACTGATGCTCAGAAGTGAAAGGCTATATTAAAGAATATTCAGAGTTTGAGTAACCAATGAGAATGTGTCTTCAGCACTATATCCAGTGTTTTATTATTTACTAAAATGATGTTATTTACTGAAAATTCACTGACCCTTATAGCCTCACACTTGTTTGCCCTAACTTGAAGTTTTAGTAAATTTTTCTTGTTATTTGTTTGTTTGTTTTTCTTACAGTTGGGTGTTCTACTGATTTCAGGGAAATTGACTTAATTTACTATTAAAATTCACCATTTCCCACCTGGAAAGGGAATTAAGCCTGGAGCTGAAACTGGTTATATTCCCAGTTATTTAACACCTATTATTTCTATCACATTTTTGAAACAGAGTTTTCACAGTTCAAGGCTCTCTAGCTGTGATCTGTTTTTATTACCACTCAAATTGTAAGGGCAAAATTCTTTGTCTTCACAACTCCAATATATTTCTATGAATATTGAAACCTTTAAAACTGATCAGAAGGTCCTAGGTAATATAACAAGTGGCTTGTATTACCCTTATGAACTGAATTCCCAGTTTTCTGGGAATTTGAAGGAATTCTCAAAATTCCCAACTGCAAAATATAGGAAAATTTTTGTTTCTTTTCTTTGTTTTTCTTGTTTTGCTTCTTGACTGATCTAATAGTTTTGTTGTGTTGCTTTAATATAATAATGCACTTACATTCTTAACAGGTGTCATGCTTTTTGGGAATACATCCTTCAACATCCTTGGGAAGATTATAGCAACGCAACCAAGAAAAAAAAATTTTTGCCCACAATGTCTTACTTATTATTGATAAGTTATGCTCCAGTACTCAGAGAGGAATGCTACCAACTGTTCAAGGAATTGTTCAAGAATTTTCAAAGAGTGCCTTCTTCAAATTGGTCCTTCCTGAAATAGTTGAGAATTTAGCCAAAGAAAATTGTATCAGGTAATATTGGTGGCATTGAAAAAAGTGAACATGCAAAGATTTAAAAATTTTTTTTCACCTACTAGTAGATTACAAAATCAATGTGTATGAATTATGACACAGGCTAGCTAAGGGTATAAAATACAAAGAACAAACTGAAGCTTAATTCATGGTTTTCCTCTTCAATTAAATACAAATGCTAGTAGATTGTGGTGTGCATGATTATATATTAGTCTGAATTTCATACCCTGGCACTTACTTGCCCATGTTTTTTTTACCCTTAATGTTTGGGTTTTAATACCAAATCTCTACTCTGTGATCTGTTTCATTCAACACTTTGCTTTCAATTCTGACCTAAACATTTTAAAATGAATTGCCAGACAGCAAAAGGCAAAGTAAGGGATGCCTTTGCAGAAAATGGTTTGTGAGAAGTCTTGGATGATTGCATATAAGCTCAAAACCAGTGCTTCCTTGATCAATCAATCTTGTTTATTAGGATCCTAGCCAAGGTATCCCTGTATGTGTACTCAATTGAGCCAAACATATTTTTTAGGCAGCATATGATGACAATTAATTTATTACCAACCAGCTGAAAGTGTAAGGGAGGTGTTATTTTGTTCTTGTCATCTGTTAAGTTTTCAAATTGTCAAAACAGAAAACATAGTGATTTTGCTATTTGAATCATCAGTGGATCCTTCAAAGTGGTGCAGAATGTTCTAGAACATGTCCTAAATGTTTCACCTTCCTCTGGTCGAAGAGTTCTACCCATGGCAAAAGTTCTTGCTGAAAGCTTAGTGAACAGCTCTTGTGGGAAATCTGCTGTAGACTTCCTGGAAAAGTTGTCACTGATGGTTGCCATTGCAGTGCCAGGGGTCCATGCAGATCTTGAGGCTTTTTCATGGAGAGATCTTCCCTTGCTGCTACTGAGTGAAGAAATCCATAAAGATTCAACAAGTCAGTGCAATTATCAATTAATGATTTAAATAAACATATATTTTTGGTTAAACTAAACCTGCTAACCGTTTTGCTAGGCTTGAGCAGCCGCTACTCAAACTTAAGTAATTGTGTAGTGCAAGCAAATGTGAGTCAAACAGATGCTACTTTCTGTGGTTTACTAGCTAGGTAATTTTTTTTTCTCATTTTATTACTGATGGACAAGTTATACAAACAAGAAATCCAGATTTGTTAACCAGCAATGAAAATTGTGTTAATATCCTTTAGTATATTGGCATTAGACTTATGATGGTAGGTGCATTTAATTATCAATTATAAAATGAGCTTAAGTTTTCATGATTCATCTATTGATTAAAGAAACTAGAACAACTGACTTACCAGTGATCAAGAAAGAAGGCAAGTACCACTCAGAAAAAGAATACTTGAACACTTACTTCAGACTTCTAAGAGAGGAGTGTTTTCACAAGTTGAAGAATGGAGTTTCACACTTTTTAAGCAAAGGAAAGTGTGATTCAAAAGAAGCGATGATGTATAGGTGGGAACAAGTTTTTTGATTTACTTTCAATTTATGGCTGGCATGTGTTAGGTACATGAAGAATAGTTTGGCCTCATTCTACATAATCCTATGGGTAGCTACTTCATTACTTGTGATTTAACATGAAGATTTAGAAATCAGTGGACTGTGTTTTTGTCCAAAGATTAGAAGTTTGAATTGACCATCAGTTCCACTGCTTCTACTTCATCCTCATCCTCCTCTTCATCCTCATCCTCATCCTCCTTCTCCTCATTATTCTCGTCCTCATCCTCCTTCTCCTCCTCATCCTCCTTTTCTTCCACCTCATCCTCACCCTCCACCTCATATGCTATGCCTCATCCTCATTCTTTTCCTTATCCTCCTCCTCCTCATACTCCTCTTCCTCTTCATTCTCATCCTCATCCTTAGCCTGGCATCCCCCTCCATCCTCCTCCTCCTCTACCTCATCTTACTCCTCATCCTTATCTTCCTCCTCTTCCTTATCCTCATCTTCATCCTCATCCTTGCCCTCACCCACACCCTCCTCTTCCTCATATGCTCTGCCTCACCCTCATCCTCCTCCTCATATCTTCATCTTCCATCTCCAACACAATTATGTTGTAGATTTGATGTAACATTAAGTCTCTTAGATATTGCAGATGTTATATATTGCTAGTAAAGTGTTGATAGTGATTGCAATTACATCTAGGATTACTCTGAAAGGACTACACACTCATAAACGAGAAAACTCTCCAACCACTATGTCGATTGGATTGCAATTTACTGTTAACTCAGAGGAAAGGATTGACTGGGGGTGAGTGCTTTGTTAAGTTTGAGGTCTTTGGATGTATAATGTCATCAACAGCTAGAAGGCAAGGAGACCGAGGAAGCCACCGGGCTTATGGGAGAGCCACCTCACCTTACAATAATGAAT